TAAGCCCTACAATTACTTGTTGAATGAAAGTGTTCTAGGTTGGGATCTCTGCACTCCAGTTTTAGCCCTTCTCAAAATGCCAACTCGTACTGGTAGTCAAGGTGAGAGAGAGTGAGCAGCAAGAGAGCGAGAGAGGGAGTTGTGGTTCAGCATCAAACACATTTATTTCACTTTTATTGAGTATACAAGAACAGAGAGCACACGCATACAGCACGGAGCACTGAGGTGGGGAGCGCGGGGACCAGAGAGGAGAGAGAGGGTGTGAGTAAAAAGGAACAGGACAGCATCGCAGTTGGTCGGTAAGGTGCTTTTGGAAAAAAAAAAAATTAGAGTGATGTTGCTCATGCAATTTCAGGCCAGTCTTGGAATGTGCTTGCAGGATTCGAAAACTGAAACAGGTCCTGGCACTTCCTGTACCCTCAGACTGAAAAGATTCCGAGAAAGCAAAATAAAACGAAAATCCGTAGGATGGCAGAGGGGAAAAAGACCCTGGAGAGTGTCTGGTTTATCTTCCTCATTTCACAAGTGGGGAAACAGAGGCCCCAGATGGGGCACAGGCCTAGCTCGATGTCACAGGGTGAGTTAGGGGCTAAGCCAGGATGGCCGCCCAGAACTCCTGACTGCCCTCTGGGACTTTTTCCACTATGCTACATGGGCTCCTGGGTGGAAAGGCAGCACAGAAAGGATGAGAACTATAAAAAAAAAAAAAAGTAGGTTGAAGACAGACAAGACAAATGTCTATATTCTATGAAGAGGAGGATGGGGAGGGAACAGTGCCCTAGATTTCAGTTTTGCAGCCCCCCCCCCGCCCTGCCCCCCCCAGTGGCGCTGCCTGCCTCTCTGTGGAAGGAAGGTCAGAGCATCTGTGGGATGGAGATCTCCACAAACCCTGACTGGCCCACGAGCTAAGCCGGGCCACTCCATCCCTGCACTAAAGCCACACACCCTGGGTCTGGAGGCAGGTGTAGAACCCAGAAACAAATATTCTCCCTCTGAAGTAGGTCCAGTGTGTTCAGGATGCCTGGTTCCAGCAAAGACAGGGGTGTCTGAGCCAAATTCTGGGTGGCCCAGAGGGTGAAGCCACTCCCGCTCTTGACCCAGAAAGAGGGGGAGCTCTCAGGTTGAGAAGGGCAGGCTTCTTTACCAGGATTGTAAAAAGAACCTAGTGCATGGAAAGTGTGCTGTTGCACTCAGGGCGAGTTGGAGAGGACTACTGGCCTGCTGGGGGTGAGGGAGGGAAGAGGGTGGGGCGGGGGTGGAGGGATGTGGCTGACTCTGCCATCTGATCCCCAGGTTCAGAGGTCTCTGCCCTCTCCATCCCATTTTGGCCCACGGGGCACACTATTCTGGTTTCTTGTCCTGCTTCAAATCAGTACCAGCTAAACAGCTAAGCACATATATCCTTGGGTAACTGATAACCAAGCCTGGGCCCTCTAGAGGACATCCCTGGGCAATGTCCAATGATTGGGAGAGAATGTGGAAATGTTCTCAGAGGGGGCAGCTGTGGTTGGAAATGTAAGGCTTGCTCAGGGGACTTCCCAGGGCCTTCCCCCCCCCACCCCCACACTCTCTCCTTCAGTCCAAGAATAGCGCCTGGCATCAGTCGGTACTCAATAGTTATTGAATGACTTTATGGACTGCTTTAGAAGCAGGACCGGGGAGGTGAGACAGGACTGAGAAATTAAAATGCAGTGGGGACATACTCACTCACAAGGGGACTCACTGAGCTCAGGGAAGCAGCCTGTGGCAGGAAGGCCTGGGAAAGCCCCTGTGTGCCAGAGGTCAATGCCAAGTTTTTGATAGGGCTTTCCCCAAGGGTTTCTGTGGTCTCAAGGCAATTTCTGGGACTCCGAGGGCACAGGCTCAGAGCTCAGATGCTGACTGAACGGCAGGTCTCTAAAGCCAGGGTCTTCTACATTGATGGAGACTTTGAGCAGCACCACCTTTCATCTGCA